TGGTCAAACAGTTTTACAAATAGGCAGGTTTTAACAAAAAGTTTGTAACACCAACAAATGACTATGTGATTTCACAAAGATCTGCATATTTTTCACTGAGGCGGTTTTGTTTTTTTTTATTTTAAAATCCAATTTGTATATATTCAAATATTCAAATCAAATGTTCCTGAAACGAGCAAGCGTGGGGGGATGAAAGCCTGCAGAAAACCATGAACTTCAACAGTGAGCTAGAAAGAAAAAAAGACCTGGATTTAGTCATGTTATGAATAAATCACCTTAAATGTCATTTGTAATGGTTGTATACTGTGAACACAACATATTGGCAGGATGAGCAACACAAATCACCCCCCACCATTCTCATGTTTAGTGTAGGTTAGGCAAGGTTAAATTGCATATCCCCCAGATATCCACACTAACTCTTCTTATTTAATGATGCGGAGGAGGACGGCTTACTTTACAGAAGTGCTAGTTTGGCTCTGACAGGTGTATTTTCACACTAAATTTTAGGAGGAAGGTCAGATATAAGAATGTGTTATTATTATTTTCTGGAACACGTTGCACAGGACAGGAGGAGATCTGACTGCGGACTGATCTCAAGAAGCCAGACTTTTGTTGTAATGTTTTAAATGAGTAGAAGTTCCCCTTTTTCAAGGTCTTGGATATTGTGTCCTTTTTTAAAGCCCTTTTACACTGACCAGCGAATCATTCAAGTATTAAGTAAAAGGTCCTAACTTATTAATGATATGCGATACTGCAAATTTTTGTATTGATTGAATACCAAGTAAATTGAAGGCCAGTATTACCAATACAAATACTAATAGTTTTAACTTATAAAGTCAATTTATGTAGCAGAGGGCAGTGTCATGATTTCTGAGATGAATCATCATCAATTTTCTGAATTCTAATCACATTTTATTGACCACTGAATCACTGCGATTTTTACTTTCCATAGGAATCAGTTAACACCATAAAACAAGCCTTTCAGCTTTTTCTGTATTTGAAACTGGGTTTTTTTGGAGACGTGGAATGTAAATGTGTCTGTCGCTAAAGCACTTTGGACCAACTTCAGTTGTTTAAATGGCCTGTGTATGTAATAATGAAAGAGACCTCACAGTCAACACAAAAAGGTTATTATATTCAAACATTTTTCATAGCTCGTGTTTAATTTCCAATAAAATAATGTATGAATTGTACCACATTTCAGTGGGCAGAATATATTATCTGAATGTCTGAATATAGTCTAAAGATAATTGGTCTGCTAATGTAGCAAGTATGATGACCAATAACACTTTAACATTAACTAATGCTGAAGCTCCAACATCAGTCATGATTGAAGCATTACTTTCACCAATATATAGGCTATCTGGTTATTCTCTCTGAAAGACTGTGACAGCAGGCTCTGGGTCCGTCTGAGGGATTTACTTCCTCCTCTCTTCAATTCTTTCAGTGCTTGTTCTCTTTCTAGTGGTCCTTTATGTCTTTTTATAAGTTGGTGGTGTTGAATTTCCTTCCAACACACATTGCAGTTTGCAGTTATTTAATGTATTGGTGTAAAGTGCTTCAACACGATGCTTGCATTCAAAGAAGAACTTTGAACATCCCTCAAGAAGCCTGGAGAACTATTCATTAAGACTACTGTGAAGAAAAGTGTGACTGTTTATCTTTTAGAACTGTTCCTTCTTAAGTCAGTAAAATAAAGACTTGCTTTTATTCTGTTAATGTTGTGAATCTTTGAGTAAAGAAGGGAAAGTACAGTTCCTTCTGATTAAAATCTACTATCTATACTAATTTATGTTTCCTGCTTACTTGTAAGGCCAATAGAAATAGAAAATAATGGCCTCTGAATTATTGTGGGGCTAAGTAAAATTTTGATAAGCTTGATTTAAAAAAATGCAATGTAATTTCCGTCTACATGTATGCAAATGAGTATTAAATGCAAATCCTAGTTGATATAATTAAAGGAAAAGGTTAATTTTAGCATTGCTCAGTAGAATTTGTTCACTGGAACCAGTTGTAAATGCCAAATAGCCAATGTACAACTAGCCAATATACTCTAGTATTGGGTACTGTGGATTTATTGGCCCACGTGGCACCACAATTTCTTTCCATGGCAGAAGGATGTGGTTCTTGCCATACGTGTGTCATGTGAGTATCTGCAACTCACAACTGTATTGATTTAAAGGTCGCAGAGGCCTGGAGCCTACCCTAGCTGCAATAGTTTAAGAGGTGGGGGACAGCCTGGACAGGTCGCCAGTCTGTAAAGAGCGTTAGTTTGAAGCTGAAATTCTTAATGTGTATAATAACCCAAGTTAAGGAAGGGACGGAGAAGGTGCCAGTGTTGTGAAAAACTATAAACTGGAAATGACAATCCACATATTCTCAGGTTGCTTTCGTGTTTTACACCGGTGTGTGCACGACAACAAGTGTACACAACCCATCTGTACACGAGGCCTCTCGTTCTCCATCACTGCATATTTGTGGAGGAAGGTGAACGAGCCCCACCCACAGTGAAAGTCAGGAGCATCGAAGCAGTGGGACAAGAAATTACAGCAGGATGACTTCCATCTTATAAAACTGAAGCTTTCTACACAGCAGACACAACTCCTCTCTTGGTTAGTAGTTATTTTAGTGCATCTCGGGTCTGTCTTTTCATCCTCCATTTCTCTTTACTGTTCTTGAATGTTGCGATGGAGCATCTCCCAGCTGTTAACTGTTATCTTACCTGCACTTTTGATTAAAACCGCAAGTAAGAGGGATCACATTTAATAGAGGTCCATTCTCCTCATCATTGCTCCCAGTGGTCGTTGATAAATCAATATGCAGGACATTTTTACTGGTATAGCACCCAGCTCTGTCTACAAAGTTATGAATATAAATATACATTTGTCTTTACGTGTGCTTTTGCATTAAATTTAAAATGTAAAAGTTGTATAACTTTCAGCTCACAGCTCACATTGCTTTGCATGTATATATGATTTATGTCATTTCGAGTGACTTTATGGCTTTGAGTATTTAAGGTCCAGCTAAAAAATAATAATAATAATAATAACAGTAATAATAACTCTCTCAGAATTACAGAAATAACTCACAAATTCAATGTTTTGTCATCACAGGATGCCAGGACATAAATTACTGCCTGTCAGAAAACACTGGCAACGGCAATATTAGACTCGGAGAGATAACGGTCCTCTTCTAAAAAGGGAACAAGGTCCACATTTGGTAGCTGGAGGGCTGTTGGTGAAATAAGTCACCAGTTAGTCAGCCAAGAGCCATTGATTTTGTGTCCAGTTTGGGAGCATTGTGCTTTCCCCTTTACGTTTCACTTGCTTTTTGCTCTGGATTTCACTCACTGGTCTTATTAAGTACAAAACAAAAACAAAAAGAGAACTACTTGGTTACAATTAGGACAAGTTTGTGGTGAAATGCTCCATTTAACAACATTATCCCTGCAAATTAAATAACGACACTAACCCAGTATGTTAAATTTGACGCCACAGGGTCTTTCATATTTGTAACATACACGTCACCAGTGCCAATATCCAGTGTGTATCAGTGTGTGTTTGTAAGTTGGCAGTGGCTTTAGAATAAAACAAAAAACAGCTGCATACGAGTCCCCGGAAATGTTTTGCTTGAAATTTCTTTGGTTAATTTATAGGATCCACTGCTTGCCCACAGCTTACTTTCTTTCCACTATTTTCAACCACACACACATATGTTTCTTTCATATGTTCATAAATAGTATTAGTAATGTATGAAGCATATGGTTCCTTCAGTCTTGTAGGATCTCTCTGTCCTAATTAGACAGCTTAATTTATTTTGACATGATTACTTTTGTCTATTTAGAACATACAGTAATTATCAAGGCTTTCTGGTGGTCGATACTTAATAATAAAGGAATTCACCCAATGTTTTCCAACTTAAGTTGCAATATAGGAAGCATGTGAACAGATGCATGTATGAATGCATACTCATAGCACCATCAAAGCAAAAGGAGTGGCTGCATAAAGTACTTTATTTTCTCATTTTTAGATACGCTTTACTGTGCCCACCCCTCCCAGACTCGCCCACAAGAGACTTCCATTAATTCAGCACAACCCTCTCAAGGCTTCATCAATGTTAATCAGAGCTAAACATAACATTAGATTCACTTCAGCTGCTTTGAAAAAGGCTCAAAGGCATGCATATACATGCATGGCTACAGGATGTTTGTTTGTGTGAAAGTGTGTGCAGTCGAGAGGCTTTGATAAAATCAGTGCTTGAAGGGGGGGGGCAAGAACATTACATGCACTTATAAACTTTACATCAAGTTATGCGGTGCTGTTAACACTGTTATCACGCGAGCAGCTGTTACGTCCAGAGAAGCCTGCTGCTACTGCTTATTCTCACATTTAGATATATTCATTTCCTCTAAGAAAATTAATATGAGCAGAAGCTAGCACCCATTGTGGATTATCATCAATGTAATGTATCAAATATTTCTTTTCATGTTATATCTACATGAATATTTGCCATTTATGATAAATATGTATTTTTGAATGCATTTTGGATTTTTATTTGTTAAAAAGTTTTTTTTCTATCACTTTGCTACAGTTTATGATTATATTAAGTAAAGAAAACAGCTGGCAATGGGTCTGATGGAGTGGTAGATTCCAGTTTTTAAATTGTGATTCAAATTGTCATAAATACATACAGAGGAGAGGCATAAGTGAGTGTCTACAGCCTCCTTAAAAGCACAGAGGCTCTGTCATGGTTTGGGTCTACAGTTGAGCAACTGGTGTTGGATATCACGTCAAAATTGATTAAATTATTTACACAGAGAAGTAGATATTCTCTGTGTAGATATTGATCCAGCATGGGATGCTATCTGATTGGCAAAAGTGACATTTTAGCATAACAATCATCCGAAACACACTGCCAATGCAGTAACAGCATATCTGGAGAACACACAATGAAACACTATCAGTCATGAATACATGTCACCCAACAAAATGCATCCTCACCTGCAACACCAAGCTTTGGTCAAAGTTGTAGGCACTGGGCCGACCTTCCAGTGTGGAGAAAGCCACGTTTCCTCCAGTGAGGGGCGAGATATCGCTGAACTCGTCTGTACATAAAGCAGTCCTTTCATCATCCCCTGGGCGAATGTAACCTTTAGCGTCTCTCTCGTAGGTCTTTCGACAAGAAGCGCTGTAATACTGGTAAGGTAACCAGGGCCCATCGTTTTCTGTACGCTTGTAGATGGCAAAGCTCTCTGGCCGACTAGTGTAGAATTTCAGTCGTATGTAGGTTATCTCAAAGGATTTCCCTGTGGAAAACAAATAAAACATGAATCAAAAGGTCTAAATGAGTACAGACGATTTCAGATTTAATTTGTGAAAAAGAAAAAAGCAATCACTGCAACTAATAGCTCGAACACAATTGAGGAGATGCAACCAGATTTTTCGTTTGACTTGCTGTTGAGGATTTAGCAAATCTGCCCGTCTTGTGCTGTATTTGTTGCATCGTAAATAAAGAAATACAAAGTGTTGGTTCAAAATACATCAACTAGATCAGCGGTCCCCAACCTTTTTTGCTCCACGGACCGGTTTAATGTCAGACAATATTTTCACGGACAGGCCTTTAAGGTGTTGCAGATAAATACAACAAAATAAAATGATTCAAGCAAGACAAAAACTGGTATATTGTAAAAATAATAATAAACATGAATTCACTGTCTAATTGTGTAACTTTATTAGCAGCGTCCTCCCGAAACGCCCTTTAATGCTCTCTGGTTGCTATGGTAACGCATAAATATTTCTTTCAAAATAAGACACACAACTACAACACGGGAAAAGACCAAGGGAAACTGAGTTAACGATAAAAACCCTGAAAGCCATAAATTTTACACCCAAGCCTCAACTCTCGCACCTCCGTACCAAACAACTCACAGACTGGTACCGGTCCATGGCCCGGGGGCTGCGTACCGCTGACCTAGATACATTTGTGATGGTATGAGAGGAAGAGGTTATAAAAGGATGCCACTAACATTTGCCCACCGGTTTGCATGCCAGAGTCAGGAGGGGATATTTTTCTTTACAGCACTTCCTGTTTAGACAACTGCAGTAGGGAGGTCAGTGATTAATGCTATAGCTCTGTCCTAATATAGAAAGCTGACATCTTCTTCCTGAATCAATGCTTCTTTTTGATTGAGGGGTGTTATTACCCCCACTGTTTACTCAGTGTTGACAGTTCAAACAATAACCTTGGAGCCATATCGTGGGGGATTAACTGAGTAGACACAAAATGAAGTCATATTGAGACCAGAATGAGAAGAAGCATGTAGAAACTCTCTTAACAGTCTTCTTCAGTGCACTCTGGGGTATTTTTTTCTACATCATTAGATACTAAGTCTCAATCGCTCTGCACATTCGTGGAGGGGTGCTATCCGCTGGTACAGCCGTAATGACATCTGTTGCTATTTTTCTGCCAAGTCAGAGCTAGGCATCTTTGTCTCTTGTCTCTGCAGAAATCTCTAATGGTATCATTCCTTTGGGATCTCTAAGATCATTTAGCTTTCATTTACTCACTGCGTGAGGTGAGCTCAGCCCTGCTGGGACTCGGGCAAGAGACATAAAATATGCACAATATGAAGCAATTGTTGGATATCCCCTGTGATGAAATGTAGACTAATTGCAAATGATATTTGTATGTTTTTATGCTTAATGTTTAATGATTCATGATCCATATTCACTCGGGAGTGCATTAAAATATTCATTAGTTTATGTGGGCACAGCAAAAGGATTTTTTAGTTGTTGAACTTAATTTAGCAAAGTAACATATAACAAAAGAATACCTGTCCACTGTGTACAATGCTGAAATGCATCCAAATAAGTAGCATTCTTACACTTCAGGGATGTAAAATGATCCTTTTTGTGAATAATGTGCAATTATATTTTACTCTCATGAAAAACTCTAAAAGTTATACAATATTAAGTGGTCAAAGAAGTGTATTAAAAATCATACTCCCTGAAAGTAGTGTTGTAGATATGTACTACTTGTAACTTAATACCAAGAGGGACGCTATTGAGCACTGAAAACATCAACTAGATCAGCGGTCCCCAACCTTTTTTGCACCACGGACCGGTTTAATGTCAGACAATATTTTCACGGACAGGCCTTTAAGGTGTCGCAGCTAAATACAACAAAATAAAATGATTCAACCGAAAACTAAGTTTGCAGGGCCGGTAAAACAGCTTTGTTTGACTTTACAGAGCAGATCTAGAATCATGTGCATTAAAGATCCAGCCCAAGCTTTCAATGTTTTCTCCAGATACACAAACGCACCGTGGATATTTTGACAATGTTTACTGAGAATAAGCGTCGTATGCTGGAGAAGTTCAATGTCTGACTTGTTCTGACTCATCCATGTCAACTTGACACAGCTACTCTCATCTGCCCAGACTAAACCCAACACAAGCACTGTAGACTGTTTACATTCTGTTTACTCTCCGAGCGGAGATTTTTGAAATCAACAATCAAACGTGGGAGTGGATTTGTCCTCTGATCACGCTATATCTCAGAGTTTGAGACCAATTCTTACTCTGTGACAGGATTACGTGTCCTATGTGAGCCGATGCTCAGGCTGTGAAGGCGTCACGCCGAACGAGGCAGACTTTTATCGTTGTTTTACATCAGAAACAGGATGTTGCTTTTCTTTCACTGTGCTGAATGAGAACCAGCTGCAGACATCAGTGGGTGCTGTTAGAATGTGTGTGTGTGTGTGTGTGTTTGTGTGGCTCATCCAGTCTTTGTGGGAAAAAACCTGACCCCAATTCCTTACCAGCAAACTGCCTGGCATTTTTTTTCTTTTCCACCCCTTCTTCCTCATTATGTTTTGTTTACTCCCCTTGAAGCAGCCCGACTCCCCCTTTCCTCTTAACTCTTCCACAGACCCGGTCTGACCTGGCTGCAGTGTGTGTCCCTGCGTCCTACTGCTGTGTTTATCATTGCCGCATTTGCCTGCGTTCCCTTCAGAGAGCGCTTGTTTTGTTTGGAGAGGCAGAGGGAAACAGTGATGTCTAAAGAACCCCCCGCCAACAACCCAGATGGATCACACAGTTTTCATGTGAACCAAAAGTATGCCACGCATACAAAATTTAGGGATGTTCAGTTACATAAAAGTGTGTGATGTGAAAACTTAGTCATCATTCACTTAGGAATACAGTGTCAGGATGGAAGCATCAAAGCCGCCGGGTATAGGAAAACAAAGTTGGCAGAAAGGGCAGTGGGAGCAAAGGTCAGTTCGGTCTCAGGGAGACAGACTTGTAGGTGCTGGAATAGTTAGAAGAATAACAAACTCTCCAATAACAAAGAAAATACCTTTGCAGCAGCAGGAGCACTGCCACCTTTTTCCAGGAAAAGAACTAGCCAGAAAATATAAACAACAAAGCCTCAAAGCACAGTCAGACATCTGCTTGCTATTGGAAATCAATACTCTCCATTTGATTGAGGTACTTCCCGTTTTCAGAGCACGTGATGTAACCGCTCATCTGTGCGCTGACATTTTCAACTTCTCTCATCATTTTTGTCCTTGTCTCTTTTTTCTTTGAAACACAACTTTCTGACAGGGATCACTCATCTTCCCTCTCCTGCATAGGTAGGGGAAGATTGGGGGATAAAGAAAATGTATGTGTGAACAAGTAAAAGCCTTCCCTGAATGCTATCAGCCCAAATAAACCTCTGCTACAAACATACTATAGATACATGTTACAGACTATACACACTCAGAATATAGTTGGATAGATTTTACTCAAGTTCAGAAAACAATCCGTGCATTCCTCTTTTTACCAAGTGAACCAAAGCCCTCACTCCCAGGCAGGCTAGGGCAGGCAAGTGGACACTGGCAGGCACTTCTCCAATAAACTTGTAGCCCCAAACTGAGAATTTAGTCAAGCTATCTCCATTATGAAATATTTGATCTGCTGCTCGACCTCTGTATTTATTCTATTTGTTTATTGATAATATAGATAGCCTTCCAGTAGCTGTACATTAAAGCAATACATTATAAAATAGTAGGGCACAAACCAGAAGGTGAGGGCTTAGGGAATGTTTTAATAAGGTATTGTGTCAGAGTGAACTAACTCTGTTATGTATACATATTTCTGGGAATACGTCTCTCAAGGTTATTGAGAAGAATATTTAGAATATTTAAATCAAACATGAAAACTGATTTATTAACATTTGCAACAATCAAATTACATGTTTAACACAAAACAGAGCATGTCTACGAGAGGCCAAATGGAGTGCAACTTAAGAAAACGCCAGCAATAAGAAAAACGGTGCAAAAGCACACAAAACACAATGGAAATAGGAAAAACGACAACGGAAATAGGAAAAAACACAAGGGAAGTGTTTCTGGGGAGACAATAACCCGACGGACCAGTTGCAGGAACCCCAAACATGGTAGGCATGATTTATCATGATTCATCTAATACTGATGATGGTATTTTTAGGCTAAAAGTTAGGCTAACACGCTTGCCTTTCATCTTTTCTTTCCTCACAATTGCAATTCTTAGCATATTTTGGTTCCTGCAACTGGTCCGTCAGGTTATTGTCTCCCCAGAAACACTTCCCTTGTGCTTTTGGAAATCTGTTTTTTCCTATTTCTGTTTTCTTTTTTCCTATTTCTGTTTTCTTTTTTCCTATTTCTGTTTTCTTTTTTCCTATTTCTGTTTTCTTTTTTCCTATTTCCATTGTCGTTTTTCTTACTTCTGTTGTGTTTTGTGTGCTTTTGCAGCGTTTTTCTTATTGCTAGTGTTTTCTTAGGTTGCAGTCCGTGTGGCCTCTCAGGGCCACCGTACATGCAGTGTTGCCAACTTAGCGACTGCATGTCGCTAAGTTGGCAACACTGTTTTCAGACCCCCTTAGCGACTTTTTTTCTAAAAAGCGACTAGCAACAAATCTGGCAACTTTTTCTGGTGTTATTGGAGACTTATTTATCTTTTGCATTGTTATTAATAAACAGAGAAATTCAAATCTACAAACCCAATGTCAGACATAACAGAAAAAAGCAAAACGCACTTGCTTGTTATTTTGTTGGAACAAAAAAGGCATTTGAATAAATTCCACCATTTGCTTCTTTGAATGAAGTTTGTTTTATGAAAAATAAAACCCAGAGGACATTTCTAGCAATGCCATTCTACTGAAATTGGCAAAAATGTAATTAGAGTGTTTTTGTGAGATAGTTCCCATTTAATTTGAGTGAACTGAGTGGAACTGCAAAAATAATCATTTACACCTGCTTTTAACTCCAAAATGGCATAGAAAAAATCAACAAAGACGTGAAAAAAACCAATTGTATTTTTTTTCCTACTTTTAGCATCTAAAAAGTATCAACTTTTCCTAAAGTTGACTTTGTGAAGTATGAGTTTCAGTTGCTAGGTATAGCTTAACTGGAATACAGACAGATCTCATTTTAGTATTCAGGACCATTGTCATTTTCAGGACTATTGTTAGCTGTGTAGGCTGATTTGTTGTGGGTGTGCTGTCTTGTTAACAACCTGCCTATGGCATAATATAGGAAGAAGACACTGCTGACTTCTCTTCATTTGGGAAAAAACAATTTTGTGTGTTTGGACTGTTTCTGTATTTTTTGCAGGCAGAATAAAGCCAAAAGAGGGGAGATCAGGAAATTTCTCTGTTCAGACTTTGAATCAAATGTTCTTAATATAATGCTCTGCATAAAAAGTAATTAAAATTAGATCAGTGTTAAAATCGACATTATAGGAAATAAGCTAAATATTTTTCCTGGGTATGTCAAATACATATACGAACCATCTTGGTGATAAGAGACCTTTAATTGCAGAAAGGCACACAAGCCCAGCTCAAAAAAATAAATGGAACGGGGAAAATAATTGCATAAAAAGATTTGTATTAATGCGTTTTAACTGTAATCGCCACATTTTAATTCAGTTATAGTGACAAATGTGCTGTGCTGCTTATTTCAGCAGTTTTGCACAGCATGGTAATGGGATAATGATGTTAATGGCTGGAGTGAGAAATGTCAAATGTGTTCACAGTGCACAAAATGTGCGTCAGAGGCATTTTTTCAGGGGGAAAGAGGACACAAAGAAGGCAATTTAAAACAAAAACAGAACAAAAAAAATATGATTTAACTTGTGTGTCTGATTTGTTGAAAAAGTCCCAGGTAATGCAAATTAATTTACCTTCCTGACAAATATCTTTTGCCTTCCAAATATGATTCATGTAAATGCCTCGCTAACTTCCCGTGTCCCTCTTCTTGTTATTCTTATTATTATAAGCTACTTATTGCCTACAGTTTCTCTAAAAAACACATAATGGCTTCAGTTTCATTCATAGTCAGTTCTATATTTGCTGCAAAACTGCGAATTTAACCTGTAGCAGAAGATTAATGCTAATTTGTAATGACACCATGTGAAAGTGTGGATGTCAAGTTAAAAAAAAAAAAAAAAGGTTATATAACAGCCCGATTTGTTTTTAATACTATCTATGAAGGCTGCGTGATGTGGTGCTATCAAAGTTTGATTCTGGGCCAAATCATATTCTTAAAATAAGTTCAGTGGCAGCCAGAATTGAATGGGTTCATACTCCATGACAGCATGTGGACTAAATTAACGATACTGTGAGCCTGAAGACCATTACTTGGTGCCTGTTTATGCATGTCAGATGCAACTGTAGGTTATCTTCATGTAAAATCTCACCAAATTCTCAGACACACTCTTGTGAAAGTGTCCTCACTGAAATACCAGAAGTCTAAGCTATGTCTGGGCCAAAGTGTTAACCTCCAACTCAAGGCGGCCTAACAAAAATCATGTGTTCTGCAGCACATCTGTGTTGGATTAAAGATTTCTCCATCAAAGGCCTTGCAATACACAGAATAATGCATGAAGATATGGGTGTCCAGAAACCTAAAAAGCTGATGGTATCAAATTTCAGTGTGTAAAAAAAAAAATCCCTAACATGTACTGTATTTCTGTGAAATTCACACCAGACTGGAGTCTATCTGCAGTCTGTAGCTCAGATCATCAAAACAACAAATGCGGTGCCGTATTATATACATATTTATACACAACATTAGTATAACAGAGACTATAAGTGAACTCTAGACATAGCTATTAGACCAAAGTAACGTAAAGACAGATACTTAAATTAAGTGTTCAGGATGTGTGCTCTTACCGAGGTGAAGGGTGAGGTTCACGGAGTTGGGATATTGGATACGAAAGTACATGGACTGACTTTGCCACCACGTGGACTCCTCATTCCGGTGGAAGTCTGTCAGGAGGCTGGTATTGTGGCTCAGGTATGGATCTGAGGCATCACAGATGTGGCATGAACGAGTTGACCCCGTCTGCATGCAGTAGTCCTCAGGTGGAGAACCACACACATTGGAAGCCACCACCGTGCGACTGAAGGCAATATTCTCAAACTTGGGCATACAGCTGCTTGGCACACCCTCCTCATCATAACAGGAGTCCATAGCAGCCCAAACAAAAAGGTGTAAGTGCAGATGAAGGGAGAGCAGAAGGGCAAAGACAAAAGGTCTCACAGTAAATGATGTATCCATGTCTACAGCAGTTACATTTACATTCCACAATCAAACATCCACACTATGTTTTGACAAAGTGATCCATACACATGAAGACCCTGATTTGAGAAAACAATCCAAGAATAGGAAATAGGTCCAGCTCAAAAGTTTCTTTGTCTGCTCTTTGTGGTGTGCCTCTGTTAGATCTCCCACATATGTTCTCCCTCTGTGGAGTGGAAGTTTATGCAGGAACTTCTCACATCGGGAGCAGCGTGAGGCAGAGGAGGGACAGGGGTGGGGGCTTGAGGATCAAACGGTTCATATAACTTCTCCACCTGCTGGTCGATAGACACATTACACCGTGACCAGCTTTAGATTCTGAGTGGATATGAGTGAAAAAATATCATCTGAAAGGAAGACACATTCAACATCCATTTAAATATTGCAGCACCGAGGTTTTTCCACCACCGAGTAAAAAATGTACCTGGCAGTTGGCCCCACAGCGGGGCATTGTGATAAATGCTGACTGTAGTGATTCACAGTGGAAGACTGAAGGTGCTGAAACTGTCTGGAAAATTTCAGCCGGCACGGGTTATCTTCATAAAGGGATGTTGCTCAGGGGAGTTCTGCGACCTAAAGGGGCAATTTATTTAAAAAAATGGAAGAGTGAAAGAGCTACATTGCTTTTTCTGCGGGATCCTCTCGAGACCCAGCCATTATGAAGAGTGAAAAGTGGTTTGCGTATCTTTGTAATTCACGCTGACTGCTCAGGCTACTATAAAACATCCATCAGCGTTTGATGTCACTCAACCAGCAACCTCGAGGCCGATAGCTAATAACTCAACAACTCTGTTGTCTTGTCCGAATACAATCACATGAACCACAAGAGCTAAAATACAAAACTTTAGTCATCACACCAGTGGGTGACATCACCCACTTTTGCATACATCAAAGCCTTGTATTAACAGTCTACATCCTATGAAGTTGCCTAGATAGCTATAAGATGATAATGCATGATATCTTTGCTCTTAACACTAACTTGAATCATCAATGTTCAATTTTCCGAAGGGATTGCGATTGAGGTACAACATAAGTACCCAGCAAAGAAATGTTTGTTTTAGTTATTATTATTATTATTATTAGAAACCTACAGAGAAGGACGTGGTAGATTTTCATCACTTTCTTTGCTGTTACTAATTGGATCATTTGCTGAGGTTTGTACATACTTGACCTGTGGGAAGATCTGTGAGAACCTGTAAAAAGGGTGTAGAATAGCCAAGGCCAGAGATGACCCACACAGACACTTGAGTGGCATATTCATCTCCAAGATCGCAATGTGCAGATTTCAAGCAGGTGTTGTTGGTGAGTCAGACATAAACATGTGACTAGTGTGTTTCCACTGTATGGCTGATATTGCTCTCAAACCTCTACAGACACCTATGTGTAAACTGTGATTCCAGTCAGTGGTTGTACTCAAACTATCTAACCAACAGTTCTGCTCCATTACTCAGTTTTGTCTAACCTAGATTTCTATATGTATGCAGTTTTCGTTTATGTACAGAATAGAATAGTTACATCGGACATAGACCAGTTAGTGGACATCAACAGGAGATTTCATTGCATTGATTCACCATCAAACTAACAACATAATTAAATCTAAATCTAAAGTCATAAAATCTAAAAATGCATCTGAGATATAAACATGAAAGAATAGAACTAATTTATAACAGTCCATGAGCAGGTACAGAAATGTGTATATATGGAGAAAGAGGAGAGGGGGAGTGGTTGCTGCGGGTTACTGAGAGTTAGTTTTATGAATGTCATTAAATTATTATTTGTAATTTCAGTTTAAAATATATATCTTATACAATACAAACTGTATATACTATAGTACACAGTACATAAAACTATCAGGGATACAAAAATGTCATGGATGGTTCCATTATGGCAACATTTTTCGATTTTATTTTCAAGAGAAGCTGTCAATGTGTGTGAAAATTTCAAAACAAACTCTGCAGGATCCTCAGGTTTATTGAAATGCTCAGAATGATGCTCTACAGGCTGTCATCTCACTAACCAGAGCCTCAAATGGGAATGGCCAAGACCCACGACTGACAAGTGCAACAAGTGTTTGTGGAGAGACGCAACCAAATAATGCATAATGGCATATCCTCTGCTCTAATCCTCTTTCTGTCAATGACTTTACTAATTCTGAATTCCATTTGAAGTGTGCAACAATCATCTGGAAGCCGGTGAAGGATTAAAGTGACACAACTGTTAAAATCATGAAAGGATAAATGTTGACATGGGAGTCTTTGAAATCAAGAAGAAGATGGATAAAAAGACAACAAAAGGAAAGTGCCATTAGCATGAAACAGAGCGAGACAGGTAGCGTCTACAGATGTGCTAAGATTCTGTACATTTATGGAATTTATGGCAATGTCTTCTCCTATCTTGTTGTGATTGCCTTGATTTATCGAGGCTCTGTCAGTACCCAGGCGAGGACGTTGTAAAAGGGACCGCATCAATTTGCAGTGAAATCCTCGGCAGGATTTGGAAGAAAGTAAGCCCGACTTCAAATCTGCTCGAATTCACGTGGATCAGCCATGTAATGAAGAAACTAGCACCTCTGCACACAGACAATAAATTCATCCAGGCACAGTAGTTCACCATCGCTGATGAGTATGAGAAAAGACAACTTTTTCAGGGGATACAAGTATATCTAAATTAACTTACAATATGCACCAAGAGGAGTGTTTGAGCCAAACAAGAAAGGCAGATGTGTAAAACTGTTGTGCTACAGCAGAAACCCATGCGGTAGCGCAGAGATACAAATGAGTTTGCATGTGTAGTTCTGTTGAATCTGGATGATACTTCACACTCATCTGCAGAGAACAATCTTTTAAAACAATCAGCCAACCGAGTCTTATTCTTGACTTCAAAATTGTGGCGACAATTTCAGATGGCTGAACAAACTCAGCGTGTGGCCCGCGCAAACTTGGCAGAAACTCTGCAAAGCACCTGAGGGAATACTATTGCCTGGGACCCCCTGCTGCTTTGCAACCATTCAGACAAGTCTACCTCAAGCTTTCCTGTGACACAGAGGGAAAAAAAAAGAAAAGACAGACCGCGCTTGCAGCATACGGTATTCTACTTGTCAAAATCACTCAGCTGAGTTCATTCAAACAATTTCGATTTGAAAGTTCCACGTCAATTACAAGCGGGAGGATGCAAATACAGGCATGTACATTGTGTACACAGCCTTTATGACTTTCTTTTTCTCTGTGTCAGTGTGACAGCTGCATCGCCAAGGAACTGCTTTAGAAAACACTCTCTTGTCACTTCCATTCCGGGTCCCGAAAAGCCAGATATCACAAAGATATGATGTAAGCTGACACATCTGGATGGCTTGGATAAGTTTTAGCTGTCATCTGTCATATTAGAGTCCCTTTGAATCCATGGCTAAGCTGCTGATTGGACAAAACGTTTGAATGTCATCAGATAGGCGACGCCCTTTCTGAGAGTGAATTTGGACAGACTGTGAATTTCAAACAGAATATGTATTAAATGACATTATTGCCAATCTGTTCAAACAACTGACAGATTTTCTTCTCATCTTTTTTTGCCGTCTCTGCTTTAACTCCTTCTGTTTTTGCCAGTGCTTTCCCTCATCCCATGTAATACAGTACTTCAAACTCCACTTTGCCCTCCTACATTATCTACTCCTCCTATTCTCTGTGCATCATTCTCACCTCCCCCTCTCTCAGTGCCACAGATCCTTTAGCCCCCACCTGCCACCCACCTCTTTCATGCTGCAGATTGGTGCAGCTGGCTGTCATGATGTGAGGCTTGCTGCACCGACACTAGCAGGTATGGCCTCCTTTTTATGATGACACAATGTTGTAGTGATGAGTTACGCTTTCAAACAGTGATTTGATGTCACAGCTGTCAGCGCTTCACTTAGCAATGCAGGAGCTGGCTGCCATATCCCCGCAGGGAATGCGTTATCTGAAAAACTAATGAGCGCTGCACATCATCACAAAAAATTTCCTGACATTACACGCATTTAAGAAAGTCCTTTCCCAGCCTCACAAAAATATATTACCTTTGCGGTATGCATAACAGGGCTGTTTATATGGCACGATGTTTGGTTAACAGTACTGTGACCCAAACAGATAAATCTGGGAAGTTGAACTTAATGTATTGTTTTGCAATTTTTACCATATTTTTCTTTCAACATGATTAATTATCTTTCCTGTGGCACAGGAATACAAACAGTAGCAGCAACATAAACTGTCTCATCTGTGCAATGTGCTGCGTGCAACTATAACATTTAACATTTGACAACTTAGCTTGTAACACAAAGGCGGGAACCCTGCATAGGGAAAAGCAGGAGTACCTGGAGAGAATCCACACAAACACGGGGGAAACATGCAAACTCCACACACAAAGGCCCTGGTAAGGTGGTGGAGTTGAACTCAGGACCTTCTTGCTGCAAGGCAACAATGCTAACCACCAATATTAAATTAAATAAGATCTGAACATCGAAAATGGTTTTCTTCATGTGTGCTCTACAGGATAAAACTCTGGACTGGAGAGTGTAGTATATATAAAAGATGGAGGCAGCTGTGAAACTGTTTCCATTGGTTTTGTAAAACCCAGCATTGTCAACATAAGATCATATTTATTTTTGTTGATGCTCTTAATGATGTAGAGTCATTATAGATTTCCGCTAATTCTAGCAAGCTAGTTAGCTAGTTTAGGCACAGTGAGCCATATTGTTACAACAACATGGAGATGAAAAGTGTAGGTCAGGGAGTTGGTCTAATGACGTGACACTCAGCTGACAGCTACCAGTTAGACTGTGCTGGCATAATGTAACTCGATGTGGCAACACCCCTAAATCTAATAGGTTGGTTAGTACATATTAATTTTAAAGATATTAACTGCTTGGTTGGTGCTGCATGGCATTGCTTCCCGTCATGGCATGGGAGTACTTGCTCATTAATAAAACACATCCTACAGCCTGCACATGATGCATGTTGCATGATACATTTCAAGCAGAAAGTCAGAATTTATGAGTTCCCAGTCGAAAATCCAACTTGGAATGTCCCCTTTAGTCAGAATTCTAACTCTGAAAATTGGAGTAGCCCCATCAAACCTTACTTAACAATCCAAGATAGTGGCACTTCAAGTAACTACTAGTAAAACTGTAACTT